TTTGGGATTCTGCCGTATCAAATTCATTTAAATATATTTTAAATAGACTGGCTTCAATCAAAACACAAACTTATTTAAATAAAATAAAGTTAGTTGATGTATTAAAAGACAAAATTACATATTAATACACCACCTTTCATATTTTTGCAATTTAATCATTACTTTTGAAATTTTACAAATTAATCCACCACCTTTACTATTTTTTTAAATCGATATATGAATGACGATTCTGTTAAAAAGAAAAATATTATATAGCATTTACCGAAGTTTAGATATATTGATGCGGCAAGATGCCATGTCAGATATTTTTAACTTTTTTTAACGAGCGAGTAATTGCTCGTGTTGCATGCCTAAATTATCCTCTGGGCCAAAACTATGGATAATAAACGACAAATACAATTGCAGTATGTACTCTTATCTTGTCTTAGATCAACTTCAACCGAACCCCAAAACTCAAAATGAGGGAGAGAAATTGATCCAACCGAATACCAAACGCAAACTCAAATTGCGTTTTCCTCACTCTCTCTCATCAGATAAACGCATATATGCGTTCCAACGCAAAAATTGCATTTGTAGTTTTGAAATTGCAATCTCACACTCATGTTTGTTATTAATTACATAATTGGCCAATAATGAAAAAAGAAAGATAAATAATTCTTCAAATGAAGAAAAAAATAATTAATTTTTCTAAACTTAAATAAGAAAATAATTCAGTATCCTAACAAATTTATTGGCTATGTAATCTTGTTTCTGTTCATTATGATTTATTAACATAATTGTTATATTTATTTATTTTTTAAAATATATCAACATACTAAAATGATTAGTGTTATATTTATCCTTTAATTTTTTATAAATTAAATATTAACATAAAGAATATATATATTTAATATATAATTTTCTTACCAATGAAAAATAACATTATAAATCACGAAATACAAATTAGATGTAAAGTCCCTGGGGGCCATCAGATCCAATCTAATAAAAATATAAGTAAAACTTTCTTCAAATTTTATACAAATACGTAATTTATCAACATTCTAATAAATGGTTGATAAATAAATTTATTATTATTGGTAAATTTTTGTATAATGTGTTTTAGTGCATATTTACAGTCTAGACCATACATGGTTTAGGGCATATATTCACTAAGAAAATCTAGTAGACTGTAAATATATGTCCTAAACCATATATGGTCTAGACCATATATGCCCTAAATCATTTTCCAAAATGTAAATATATGCCCTAAACTATATATGGTCTAGACCAAATTATGTTAAATAAAAATAAATAAAATATATTTTTATTATTTGAGTAATTAACATTTTTATTTGAGGAATTCACCAATTCCGAGACTTGAAAGACTATCTATTTTTACTTGATTGTTGGAATTTTTAATTTTTAATCTTGTGTGTTGTAATTTTTAATTTTATTTAGTGTGTTGTAATTATTAATTTCTCATCTTGTCCGTTGTAGTTTTTTTAATTTTATCCTGTGTGTTGTAATTTTTATTTTATAATGTTGTGCATTGTAATTTTTAATATTATATTGTGTGTTGTAATCTTTAAATTTTATTTTTAATGACTATTTATTTCTCCAATTTTATTACATAAAGTCTAAATTGAATTGAAAAAAAAAAGTGTGGTTTAATTTATATAGTTGTAAAATATGTAGGTAGTATTGAAAAGTTGTAAAAGTTGATGTAAAAGAGAATATTCCGAGAATATTCTTTTGGGTTGGAAAATGGGTGTTTCGGTTGGAGATGAATTACTGCAAAATGAGATGTGTACAACAAAATGGGTTTGAGTTTGGTGTATTCGGTTGGAGATGCTCTTATGATTATCATGTCAAGCACACAAGGCACCGGAGGATAAAAGTAATCTCCAAAAATTTTGATAAGTGGTAAATAATTTTACTGTGGAGCTATCGGATGACTCGACTTATGAAATTATCCATACTTATTCATTAATGGTGTATTGATACGTGTCCTATAATAAAAAAACCATCTGACGACTGCATAATCCATACTTATTTATCAATAGTGTATTGATACGTGTCCTGCAATAAGAAAACCACCCGAAGACTGCATGTTTGCATCGATTATTTGAAGTGGTAAAATAGTGAGGGAGCTGAAATAAACTCAGCTGGTAATTGGTAAACACACAAAGTGAGAAAGGGAAGAATTTTCAAACGCATTGATTTCCACCTGTTGATCGCTCTCCAGCTATGGGCCCACCACCGCCACACCACCCGTACAGGTGTCGATCCCTCGATTTGCATGGCTGCCGGCGACCTGTAATTTATAAACCTTCACCGGCAACGAGTCCCGAGTAAACAACAATTACTCGCTCTAACGGCCTATCGCCGTGCGCGTTTTCTCATAATGGCCTTCTCCCATTTTGCGATTCTGGTGCTGATTGTGGCGGCAGCGGCGGCGCAAATTGCAGCCGCAGGTGGTAGGCGGCTGAGGCCGTGGGATCCCATTATCCGGTGGCCGGTGGGCGGCCGTGAACCGGAGGAGAACGGTACCAGGTGGGCGGTGCTGGTGGCGGGTTCGAACGGGTTTGGGAACTATCGGCATCAGGTGAAGCTGTTGGCTTGATTTTTCTGTATCAAATTTTTTTTGATGGTTCTTGCATAAAATTGTGTTCTTTGTTGTTTTCCGTTTTCTTTTCTTTATGTTTGTTGTTGGGAAGTTATGAAGTGACCATAATGGATATGTAAAGAATTCGGCAAAGAGTTCAGATCAATACTAATTTTGATATTTTGCACATTTGAGCTTGTTGATTGTCCAAAAGGGGAAAAATTATTTTGATCATTGTACGTTTATGCCGAGGATTGAATCTGTTGCTTGTATCAATTTGCGATTTGCTTGTGGGAAAATGCGCTGTGCAGTAAACATATGAGTGTTTTTCCCTTGAATTTTGATGTAATTGAAGGAAATGACGAAAGCCATGGAAGCTCAATGCTTCTCCGAAATCGAATGACTTTCTGTTCTTTCTTCATTTTAGCTGCATTTTGGCTGCACCTACTAATATGAGTATTTTGCAATGTAACAATTTGATGGTATAGGCCGATGTTTGCCATGCTTATCAAATACTTAAAAGGGGAGGTCTAAAAGATGAGAACATAGTAGTTTTCATGTATGACGACATCGCAACGAACGAGCTGAATCCAAGAAAAGGAATTATAATCAACCATCCAACTGGTGAGGATGTGTACGCGGGCGTTCCTAAGGTAACACCTCATTTTAGTGGAATTATAATCAACCATCTAACTGTTACAGAAATGGAACTATTCTGTCGGGGTTTGTAACCATTAGATCGACTCCCCCCCTCCCATGGTTACATGAACTAACGGTTACAAACCCCGACTTAACCCCGACCGTCAGAATGGTTTCGTAAGGAGACTGTAGCACCTCCCCTGTTTATAACTAGTAACTAGTTATTAGTCAGCATGTGTTTTAAGTTTTAACTTGTACAATAGTTTCATTTAATCCTGGTGGTCGGTTCTTTTTTCAAGGATTACACTGGCAAGCAAGTCACTACAGAGAACTTGTACGCTGCTATCTTAGGTGACAAACGTGCTGTGAGAGGTGGAAGCCGAAAGGTCGTAAATAGTAAGCCGGGCGACAGAATATTTTTATACTATTCTGATCATGGCGGCCCAGGTGTTCTTGGTGAGAGTTGAATCTATAATCGAACATCATCTTGTGAATTATCTGTTTTATACAACATTGTTTCGATGAGGGAATGCGAATGATATTAATTTCTTGTTCTTTTTAGGAATGCCAAATATGCCTTTCCTTTATGGTAAAGACTTCATCGATGTTCTAAAAAAGAAACATGCTTCCGGGACCTACAAAGAGATGGTGAGTAGGTGTTTACAAAAATTTGAGTTTATAAAAATTTGTGCGAAATTGAGATGATATATTTTTGTCCAAAACTCGCGTGCCGAGTGTTTTTTGTGCCTTGTGTAGGTTATATATGTCGAGGCATGTGAAAGTGGAAGTGTATTTGAAGGTATGATGCCTGATGATCTGAACATCTATGTTACAACAGCGTCAAATGCAGAAGAGAGTAGCTGGGGAACGTACTGTCCCGGAATGAGTCCTTCACCGCCTC